TATATATATATATATATTTAGCGGATAGTATGTTCTTTGGTATCCGCTGATGACAGATGATAAAATATGTCTGCCAAGCCACGTGACATCATTGGCGTTTAATATTGTAACACACCTTATTTAAAATGTAAAATAAAACGTTTAATGAATTACATAAAAGTTTGTCTTAATTTTGCGTTTACAACCAAAAAAAGTAACCGATATATTTTAAACCAGTAGGTAAGACAACATTCATTTACGATGTATTTCAATCGAAGTAATATTAACATTGATTGTATATAAAAAGATCAATACCGAATTCACATATTGCAATTAATTCGGACCAAGCATTACAAGGTAAACATCTGTGCTGAGTGCACTACAGTGTAACAAACTGCGATTCAACGCGAATCGAACATTATATATACAACGGGGTCGCATGGCAACTGAGTCAACACCCAGCAGACGGCGCCACTAGTAGCGGGTGCGCACCGTCCTGCGGCATACTCTCCGCTCGGCTCCCTTCATCGTCTTGCAGGCCTCCATCTCCTGCATGAAGCTTTGTCGCCATCGGCAGCACTTCTCAAACGTCGCCTTGTGGTTGTGGCACTTGGCAGCCTTCAGCGCCAGGTCCTTTCCGAAGGTCTTCGCGGCGCTTCCCGGCTCGTGCAGCTTCAGGCGTGCTGCGTGCACGCGGTTGTTCTTGCGCTCGACGTACCACATGTCGGCACTGCAGTCCATGCGCTGGCGGGCGAGATGCTGGCCAACCTTACAGCAGCGCTGCGACGTGAAGCGTCGCTGCTCGTCATCGTCATCGTCGTCGTCAGCAGCAGCGGCGGCGGCGGCGGCAGCGGGGGTTTTCTGCCAGGCGGAGCTGCTGGGGCCGCGTGCTCTGTTCTCGGTGTCGCGCCGTACCGCCGCTCTCATCAGGTCGTCCGGCTGCACAGCGTCTGTAACACGAGCGAGGAGCAGTCGACGTTAGAACGCTTAAGTACTATAGTACGCATATTACTGCAGTGGCTGTGAGGTTTCTATTATCTACTTCTGGTGGGTACGCAACTATAGTAACTGCATGTACTTTTGGCAGGGTTCCTAAACATTGCGTTGGAAAGCTGCCAAGTGCGTGCCCGCTCAGCGACCGCACGGGTGGCAATAAACCCGATACCCAGCGCCAGCGCCGTATCACGCTAATGGAAACGTATTTCACGTTAGCTTTTGGAATGAGTGATTTGGTTCCGTGACCTGTAACGTTTTCACCGCTGTTAGTGGTAGGCTGGTAGCTAGCTGTTTGGCAGAATATATTTCCTAACGGGTCTTTCAACATATGCGCTACATATGTATATAAATACATGAAATTGCATTAATGACCGTGAAAAGTATTACCATAAAACGATCATACATGTGAAACGAGTACACGACTCATATATCCTAGTCCTACAACGCCTGTGAAAATTCCCACAGCATATGTTCCAGCTAGTTTTCTATTCAATGTAACTCAGCTCAAAGCTGATATAGTAGGATTTAGTAGAATATCAAGAGAAATTTGTTATTGATCCGCGACCATGGGCTATATCTACATCCCGCTGCGCCAGGCGTTCGGAAGTGCAATGATTTATTAGGCGCTATAAGGATTGTATAGATAATAGACTATATATACTGTAGTCGGTATCCCTATTTGTAAACATATCTATGCATGTACTAATAAACTAGCTCCAAGAAACGGGCATGTACATCAAGATGTGTATATTGACGTTAGTCATACAGCCTGGTCGGGCTACTAATAAACATGGTACATGTGGCACATAACACATATAGGGCAAACGCAAAGCACAAGATATATAACTTACACGTACAGCACACCTATACGTGTAGCTCCAAGAAACGGTATTGCTAGGGTTAGAATACCCTATGGTAAATCAGGTATGTATTGACGTTAGTCACACAGCCTGGTCGGGTTACTATACGTGATGCTATTGGGAGTATTGCTAAGACAAACCTGAAAAATTGCGTCATTCTAGTATATGGCTCTGCATGAGCACGTCGCCCGCACAGCGCTGTAAAATAACAGTAGCTAGGTGACAACGCCATATAAAAAACCCTCGTTCACTCGCGCCTACCTGACAACGGTTGTGTCCACGCAGCAAACAGCAGCAAGACAGCGAGCAGCATCAGCGCACGATTCATTTCTACCTCGCTCGCCTGTCGCTATGAAGGAAATGCAGAGACACGTGGATCATCAGCGAAGAGAAGGTTGCCGACGACGCGTCCATTGAGCCATTATTGGAGGACGTCCATCGTACGATGACATCCCAGTCATCCTGATTGGCGCCACTGATTGGCGCGTGTCGTGAGAAAGTTTGTTGTGCAACGTGATCCCTACGTCATCGAGCGGGCGATACAGCGACAGATTCCTTGTACTGTACAAGGCAAGGTACTACTACTAGCAGGAGCTACCAGCGATACTCCCATGCTGTATGCGTGCAAATAGCTGTCTGCGTGTTGAAAGAATCTAGGAGCGAGGTAGGAGCGTTGCACGCGAGCACCACTGGCATTTTGTGCGTCAGGCGGATATGTGTGGCAGCATAGATATACTGTAGTAGATATACTGTCAGTAGTGATCAGTGTGTATACGAAAGGTGGCAGCACTCTCCAGTCTCTGTTCAAATCCAAGGCGCTATTATAATATTACTAGCTATTACCCGTCCTCCAGACGGGTTTGAGTGGGGTATGATTTGAGGAAGGCGGTTTAACCATTTATCTCTCACTTTTAGTTGAGGATGTATTTACAGTAA